AGGCGCCGATTTGATAGGTTCATCGATGCCTGAAGTACCTTCAGGCGTCAACCACTCACCCGCGTTGAAACCTAACAGATAGGCCAGAGGCGCTAAAAATCTAAATTCTATTTCATCACCGATCTGATATTTGAGAATGGGGTCGGGGAATCTGTGAATGAGATAGAAATCAGGATCAATCTTTCTCATAGCAGTCTCACATTCCATTCTAAGTGTTTGGATAGCTTTATAATATCCGGGAGTAATCGGAGCTCTGTTGATTTTCTTAGGTTCTTTCACTCGTCGCCATTCAACAAACGCACGATCGTTCGGTAAATTAAACCACGAGTGTACGTAATTGATTTCAGACAGTCCCACTTGCCACCTGCCATTGAGATTGATGTGACGGGCTAGATCGGTTCTGTAACTGGCAATCGTGTTATTTTTAAACACCTCGTTACTGGCGTTAGAGGGCAATGTGATATAAAAACCCTCCTCTTGTCTCAGATCCATTTTTTATTGTATCTGTTTTTTTAAACGTCGTGCAGGTCTGAGGCTTTAATCCAACTGGAAAATTTTTGAGGCCATCCAAGCCATTTAACAAACACTTGCTTCTGGCCTCTGTAAGTTCTGCGCTTTAAAATTTTTTCAACGTGAAAGGATCGTTCGGTCGATAAGTTTACTTTCTGCAATTCGGGTTCATAAAATGACCCTTCAATTTTTTCCCCATCAAAATCTTTGAGTTTATAAACCGGCGGTGCTCGATGAAGACACTGGTCTACTGTGAACAGCTCGTGCGTGAAACTCTGCTCATATTTTTTATCAAAAACACCTCTGAGTTTGGAAATTCTCACAACGTCACCCCTGTTAAACTTCATTTTCTTTGCAGGCTTCGGTGCGGTGGTCCCGTAAAGGTTGCGAAACACTTGCCATTGATTTTCCGTGTTAACTTCAAAGGGGGCCATTTTGATAGAAGTGTGGTAGCTATGATTATAACCTTTCACCAAATCTTGAATTACATCTATGTAGCGATGGGTGTTTTTGGCTGTGAAATATCTCCACATTCTACCTTTTAGAGTCCTGTTAAATCTCTCCACAACGCTGGCCTTTACGCTGCTGGCTGTGGCAAAATGCACAATTTCGTGTTTCTTCATGAGGGCTTCAAATTTCTTATTAAAAAATTCTTTACCGGAATCCGTTTGCAATTTTTTAGGGACACCGCTGTCTTTCAAAACTGAAGCAAAAGCTTCTGTAACATCTTTCCCCGATTTGTTTTTCAGGGCTCGTACATAGGCTTTCTTTGAAAATACATCTATGACGGTTAATAGGTAATTAAAGCCGTCGTTTGATTTTGACAAGGCCTGCATGTCGCATAAGTCAGCTTGAAACTGTTTTAGCGGCCCTGAGACAAAAACCTTATTTCTCGGAAAATGAACTCTTGCAGGTTTGTGAAGTGTATAGGCGTCTTGTTCTGAGAGAAAATCGCGAGCCTTATCCGATGAAACTTTCTCCCCAATATCTTGTTGTAAACCGGTTCTAAACCTTTCCACACCACCGTAACTACCCTGATGTTCTGGTGTAAAATAAACCTTTTTCATTACCTCCTCCATCTCTGATGAATGGTTGGTAAAAATGATGCACATTTGTTTTCATTAGTTCTTTTTATTTCATAAATTGTACACACAATCTAATCATACTGTAAAAAACAGCAGTCATCAAATATAATCACACAGTCTAATCATACTGTAAAAAACAGCCGTCAAATATAATGAATAAAATCACACAGTCTACAAATATAATCTAAACACTAGTCAGAACTAAAAACTAATCATACTGTCGTCAAATATAATAATAAAGTTGTAGAAGAGACCCTCCGCAGCTCGCTCACTCCATCACCACCCCGGACAGCGCGTCCAGGTCAGCTTTGGACAGGCGATCGTACACCGGAAAAATGTCTTTGTGAATGGGCATCACCGCCCTGAATCCGTGCAGCTGCGTCACAGCCATGGTGAACAGAATCTCAGTGTCCAGAGGCTGGAAGCCGTGCAGACTGAGAAAACTTTGAAGAGCCGGAATCAGTTTAGGTGTTAAAACCCTGCGAATAATGTCCGTAAAGTGAAAATCGTAAAATAATTCATTTTCAGCTACGTAAAGACATTCGTGTTGCCGTTGACTGGGGTGATCGATCTTGCATCCGTGGCAGATGGTTGGTAAGTGAGCTTTGATCGCCATGTTGACCAAGTGAAGAAGACCCATTTTCACACGGTCTACTTTGTCTTCTGAAAACACCCAGTCAGGCAGACGGTGAGGCTCCTCATCGGTGCTCTGGATGTCGAGGGGTTGCACATCCTCCTCCTCCTCATGACCTGGCGGCGGCTCAGGGTTTGATGTCACCAAAGGTGGATCAGCCCCATCGACCCAGGGCCTGAATGGTACGTTCTCCGGAACCTCCATGATGGTGGGGAGTCGTGGTAGGTTATCCTCTGGAAAACACGATGGTGCCGATGCGGGCCTCGGACTGCCGTTGTATCTCGGCGGTGGTGGTGATGGTAGCGATCTGGACCTCGGACTGGTGTTGTATCTCGGTGGTGATGAATCCGTTAGTACCCAGCTCGGTGGTGGGCTCCAAAGGTCTTTAAGGGTCGTCTGATTGTAGAACCCCGTCATGCTGATGCCTAGATCGTCTGGATGAAATGGTTTCTAACTGTAAGCTCTTTATAACTAGTGCTGGGTGGGGGGGCGTGGTATGATGATGCAACCTCCTCCTCCTCCTCCTAAGGCAGGTCTTAGAACTCCAGCTTTTTTCGCACTGTCAGAATGTCGTTCCAACAGCGGCTGGTACGAAAAAATGAAGTAATACGATCCTCCACTTCATTTATTTTTTCACACCAGGCTTCGAAAGGTACAACCTGTAGAAGGCGGTAAATTCCGCATACAGAATGCACATTCTCCAGCACAAAAAAGAGCTCAAATCCTCTCACACGGACCGAGGCCTTGAACATCCACTCTCCATCAGCATCCTCTTCCCCCTCCCATGAAGCGCTGAATGCTGTCACAGCGTTCTGGATTTCATCCAACGTTGGAAGAGCTTGCGGCCCACTGCGATTGACAGGCGGACGAGGTCTCTCAGGATCATCTCTGTGCACCTTGCGTGGAACAGCCAGCCTGAGCACAGCCCAATCGTTGTAGGAGAGAACCGCTGGTGAGTTTGATAAATAGGATTTAAGAGGTTCGCCCTCAGCCACATCTTGGATTAAACACAGTTCCTTAGTGTCGTAGCTGAACCGGTACCCAAAACTACCGGTATAGCCGTAAGGTTCCAACTGCCATATTTGCTCCAAGATCTCTTTACCGCCGAAAGGAGGAACCTGCACTCTGCATATGTAAAATGTAGATTTGCGGGGGGCACCAATTCCAGCCGGCATCTGATGTATAGCGATGGATTTTTCACAAAGCATGGTTTTTGACAGCGGCGTATCCACGCTCTCTTCTTTCACTTTTTGAGTTGAAGTTGAAGCGTCGGATGTAGTAGGCACCTCTTCCTCGTGGTTCATCATTTTTTCTTAGAGCTCGGCTTTTCACCATTCGGACAGATCTGAGCTTTTAAAGAGTTAAACACAATAGGATTACACTCAGAAGGGAGGGGCTGTGGGAACCGATGGGCTATCACAAAAAAAGAAACCACACACCATTACACACATTAGCCTATGACGTGGGATATCATGGACGCTCAACAATACGCCATTGATGATGCGGCGTGGGGGGTCTAGACCATCTGGACACGTTCAACAATACGCCATTGATGATGCGGCGTGGGGGGTCTAGCCCATCTGGACAATTAACAATACACATGTCCATTTGATTAATGATACGGAAGGGGGGGCAAAGATTGAACAATACACCTGTCCATTTGATTAATGATAGGAAGGGGGGGCAAGGTCAAGGGTCAAATGAACAATAGGAATGAAAGGTCAAAGAACAATAGACCTGTCAAAAAGTTTGACGAAAGGTGTCTTATAATACTCTCTAACAATATTTACAATGATATAGACTGGAAAAACACTTGGATTCTATCTAGAACATTTATTATTACTAATAAGAGAGGTTACTTTTAAGTTGATCCATAGATGTTATCCGGTAAAGACATATCTGGTTAAACTTAAGAAAAATATTGATACTCTTTGTACTTTTTGCAGCAATGCAGAGGAAACATATGTCATTTATTTTGGGAATGCACGTATACACATGTATTTTGGATTGATCTAAATAATTTTATAAGCACCAAAATTGATCCCTCATGTAAACTGAAATTTCAACACATTCTATTTGGCCTCTCGATAAAATAATTCCTGGAAAAAATATATTATTAATCTTCTGATCATTTTTGCAAAATTTCACATACATTGTACAAAATTCTCTCAACAGCGTCAGAACATATTTGCTTTTAAGCCGTTTTCCAATTATCCGGAGAACTAAACAGTACTAACTCCAAAGTGTGTAAAACACAAGAGCTGTGCCGAATGCATAATTTCACTTGACTGACATGTTTATTTATACCTTGAGCATTTATATATATATTTATTTCCAGTTAATTTGTTTGTTTTCTCCTAAAGTATACCTTTTTGTTTAAGTACTTGTAGCTGTATACATAACTTGTTATTACAAGCTGTGGAATTTGTATACTCTTTCTATATTCTACAATACCATCATGTATGTTTGTTATTCAAATGTCTAAATAAAAAATAAATAAAAAAAGGAACTACAACTTCCGCTTTCGAGCTACGTTGATTCTCCATTAAATTTTACAAACGGTGGAAAAAAAAGGCATTTGTGAGGGGAGATGTAGACCTTTATCAGGTGCATCTCCATCATGACGTGATAAACTAAATTTCTTCTCCTTCTCCGTTCAAACGCAAACACACGTGACACCTGTCAAAGTGGTGCAGCCGCCACCCGCGCGGAGCTGGAACGTGCAAGTCAACCGGAACGTGACCTCAACCCCGTTAGTTAGGAGGACTCACCTGTGCGTTGTAACTTTATCTCAGGGTTGAACACCTGGTCCAACAGTCTGCGCTGACGAGCGATCTCTGCCTCGTAATCTTCGACTCTCGTTTCAAACGCTCCCAGAATTTCTCGAGCAGCCGCAGTCAGTCGATCACAAACGAATTTGCGCATACCTTGAACCGGATACATGTTGGTTTTAACCCGACATGGAACGAGAAACAAAACTTTGACCAGTTTCGCACTTCTCGTCTTTGCTTCCGCACGAGACCGCCATGTTTGTAGTCTGTTGGCTAACTTGGCTTGGACTGCCACCTACCGGCCAGACCGGGCACGACAGCTGATTCTCTGCGTTCAAGATTCATTTTTGCTCGATTTTAAATTGCTATAAAACACTTAATGCTGTGTCAGTAATGGCAGCGGTATTTATTTTTAAGAACTAATTATTTACTTTGGAAAATGGTTTAACAATTAAAACCCATTCAACAACGTTTTACTTTAATTTTGACCTCTTGGTTAAATATTAACCCCAAAAATAATTCTCCAACATATTATTTTATTTTAAAAAAAAACTTTATGAGGTCGTACTCTAATTTGACATTTTCCCTCTTAATTTTAAATAACTCCTTTGTATAACTAGTGTGTGTGTGTGTGTGTGTGTGTGTGTGTGTGTGTGTGTGTGTGTGTGAGTGTGTTAAAAGGAAAAAAGAACATGTACTTTAATTGTATGTCTTTAAAAAATAAAAATAAACAAAAATTAAATAAATAAAATACAAAAATAAATATATTTCAAAATATTATAAAAATGTATAAAAACTATGGAAAATGAAACAAAAAAATAAAATAAACAATATAAAAATACACAAAAACACACATTGCACAATCACCATTTTGATGAAGGGGTTTGCAGTTCAAATGGATTTTAAGGAGGTGTTTGCGTGCGTATGTAAGAAATTACTAAAATACTACGAATACTACACTACTATAATACTAATATTTCTAAAATAATCCCGATTAGACCCAGTTTTAGAGCAATGGATTTAATTAGAAAGAAAAACAAAACAAGGACATAAGCAGGATGCAAAAAAACAACTTGTGAAGCTTCATTCAGTTCCAACATCTGCGACCTTTTCAGTCCGTTAAGGTCTTTTTAGTCTACTCTCCTTTACATCCTTGCACCCATTTTCCTAAGATGTGTGGTCAGTCCCAACTCTCAACAGAAAACACACTTGTTCACTCTTGTTCAGCCATTCTTCTGTGGACGTTTTGCATTTTTACCGTTAGTTATGATCTAATGTTACGTCTCGGACGGAGAGTTGCACAATCCCTTAATGTGATCATCTTGTTTTCCTTTTCCCCAGTATGTCTGAGCTGTGAGCAAGTTCAAAGACCAAACTGAAAAGAAAATTCAGCTTTTTTTCTACAGCTGAGTTAACACAATCCGGCTCTTTTTGTGCACAATATTTAACTTTAGTCGGTCTGGTTGCCTTTTAAGGAACTTTTAGCACGCTGAGTGGAAAAACAAATACAGCATTGATTATGAACAGAAATAAATGCATATCTATGTAAATACAACCTACATTACACAAAGATTATATAAGTGCACTTTAACATCACATGCACATCCAGGTCTACCAGTATCTACATCACACTGGTTCTGTTAATAGAAGACAAGAACTAGATACATTTTCATACGTTCATAAGCTTCTGGATCACACACAATACATCACGTTTGTGCCCTACACACATACATTCAGCACAGTGCAGTGAAAAAGGCAGACAACTACCTACAGAAAAAACTTCCTTTGAGATACATCGAGGCTTCGATCTAAACAAAAAAATCAACTAACTAGTCTGAAAACAGAAAGCAGCATCAGCACGCACCCTTGGTTCACTTCTCTCCTCACAAACACAATCAAACACGATCAAGACACGGTTCACATGCACACCGATATTCTGATGCTAGCGTCACCGCTTTGACATAAATAAGATGCTTCTTGGAGTAATCATTAAATAAGATGCTTCTTGGAGTAATCATTAAATAAGATGCTTCTTGGAGTAATCATCTGAGTCTTTCGTTCTCATCTTTTCCAGGAAATGTCCGGACGACATCACAGCTGCGCCGCAAACAGCGTTCTTTAGTTTTTCCGACGGGTTCTGAAGCGTCTGTTCTGTTAGGATCCTTACATCCGGACAGGCTGGCAAGATGTTATCCAGTGCAGATTTAGGTTGGATAACTTTCCCACATTTCTCCAGAATCGTCCTTCTCCTCCGAGTGCGTCTTCATGTGGACAAACAGGCTAGACTGACTCCGGAGACACTTTCCACAGACCTTGCAGGGATACGGTCTCTCTCCTGTGTGCGTCCTGATGTGGACGTCCAGTATGGACTTCTGATTGAAACGTTTACCACAGACTTGGCAGGAAAATGGCCTCTCTCCCGTGTGGATCCTTTTGTGGACGTTCAGGATGGATTTCTGATTGAAACTTTTGCTGCAGATGTCGCAAGAAAACGGCCTCTCGCCCGTGTGGATGCGCTGGTGAACCTGCAGGATGGATTTCTGATTGAACCTCTTCCCGCAGATGTGGCAACAAAACGGCCTGACTCCTGTGTGGATCCTGAAGTGCCTCATCAATCTGGACTTGAACTGGAACACTTTCCCACAAGTGTCACATTTATACTCACATTTTTTATGCATATAAGCAGTGAAGTGGTTCTTAAACATGGCAGGATTATAAACATTGGTGCTTCGGTGGTGTCTCTTCTCTGGTTGTTTGCCACCTTGGTATTGTGCCACCATGTTTAAGGACTCTTCCTGTGCTGCGCTCTGAGATTCAGCTGGATTTCTGCTCTGAGCTGTGCTGGAATGGCCTCTGTCGAACGGACTTGTCACCATAAAAGCTTCCGTCTCCTGCTTCAGTACAAGCAGCTCTTTGTCCTGGCTGGTGCAAAACTCGTCCTGTTCTTCTTTAACTTCTATGAAGTCATTTTGGTGTAAACTGGAGTTTTCCTCGTAGTTAAAGACCTGCGGTTCGATGAGGAAATCCTCCTCTTTAACTAAATGTGGCAGTGAGATGTCTGTAGGGAAAAGAAAAAGGTTGCTGAAATGAGGAAATACATTTAAACGGGTTTAAAAAATATTTTAGGCAATTATTGAGCAGATCAGAAAATAACTGATCAGTCGAACAGAAACTAGGAAAGACGATAGCTTGGTCCTGTCGTACAAATCCAGCCCTTGCTGGACTTTGATAAGACGTCAGCATATCGCGAGTGCTTTGGCGGTGATTGATGTCATTGATCGGTGTAATTTAATCCATTCGGAGGACCGGGAGACCAGCTGTGTGATGTAAAATGTGGCGTTCAATGACCACGCGAAACGCTGCTTGTGACAGCCCAGTGAGACACCAAAGCCCTGTGAATTACGTCATTGTGGGGGGTTGCATAATACATCGCAAATAAATCGTTATCACGATATCAGCATGCACAATATGCATATCGCAAAGAACAGATAAATATGGCAATGAACGGTCGGCTCAGATGTTTGCTGCACATGACGCGTTCTGTCAAACGGAAGCATGGTGTTTCTTTAACAACTCAAATAGAGATCTTCACCCATTTGGCCAATCGGGTGTGTTCTCATAGGTCAGAGGCCCGCCCCCGAGGCAGACGGTACTTAATTTTGATGGTTAGCAAACACCTGAGTTAGCTTTGTTCTGCTCTTTCTGCTGATTCTACTTTTCCCGGGATCCACTGATCGCCTTTTCTCGTTCATTTTCTTTTTCCCTTTCCACACATCTTTAGCTTTTCTCATTTTTATGATTTCTTAGTCATTTTTTAAATTTTTGATTATTTTTGTTCCTGAGTGAAGTTTTTATTTATCGCAAGTAATATCGTCATCGCAATATTAATCGCTGTTATCACATATCGCAGGTTTTCCTAATGTTGTGCTGCCCTAGTGGGGGATTTCTACTGCATTCCTCTGTGTTGGGAGCTTAGGGATCAGTAATCAGTAGGTGAACACTGCTTCATTTCTTTGTATTTGCTTCACCAGCAACTCTTCCAACTTTACAAATGCCGGTTGTTTTTGCAACATCTGCTGAAGTCCTTTCCTACCAACCAATCAACACGAGTTAACCCAAGGAGATGCCAAAATTGAAGCCAATACCAGCTCATTGGCCTAGAGGTATGAGTGTCCGCCCTGAGACTGGGAGATCGGAGTTTAAATCCTGGTCGGGTCATACCAAAGACTTTGAAAAAAATGGGACGTAATGCCTCCCTGCTTGACACTCATCATTAAGGGGTTGGATTGGGGGTTAAACCACCAAACAGTTGCCGAGCACAGCCACAGTTGCAGCTCACCGCTCCCCCAGGTGATGGGTCAAATGTGGAGAACAAATGTCACACACATTGACGTGTGTGTGACAACTAATGGGACTTTAACTTTAAACTTTCATGCGGAAGTGATAAAAATTGCATCTCCTAGGGACTTGCTCCAGAAAGAATCAAGTTTTTTAATCTGATAGTATAGAATAAAACTGAATATGACCAAATTTAAAGGTGCAATATGTAAGAATGACAGCCTGTGGTCAAATTAGGTGACTGCAGTCCATTTTTGTAAACAATAAAATCACTTTCTCACTGCCATTCTGTGAGGTTCACGATTGTTGTCAGTTACGGATCAGCACCAGAAGATTCTATATGACAAATGAAGATGAGTGACACGCAGAAAACGATAAGTAGATAAACACATTGTCATATCTGGTGTTAGCACTCTAGGGTGCTAGGGAGTACTCATTACACTTATTACGGTAATAATTCTACAGGATGATTGGTTGCCATCTTGCTGTTAGCTTGCCGTTATAGTTCTGAACGACTCACTAAAGGAAGTAAAATGCTATGACGCACTTCACACATAGATTTCACTGTAATATTGAGTTGTTAGGATTAGAAATGCACGGACCGCAGCATTAGCTCCACGCAGACACAGCAACCTCCCAAACTCACTGATTGTAAACAGTAATCACATCCCTCTTTGGCTTTTTTATAAGGAAAAACTGACGAGCTCTTTTTGGACGTTTGTTCTGTGATCTGTAAAATTCCACTGCTTGGTTCTTGTCCAAACACGGCGTAGTAACGATTTGTTTTTACCTTTTAAGCTGACAAGTTTCGGCTAACGCTGTAGCCTTCCTCAGAGCACCGCCGATGTTCCTTCTCCGTCTATCTGTGGGCAGCGGAAATAAGGAGATTTGGGCCCAGGACCGTGAACACAGATGATGGTGTTTACACATCGGATCGCGCATGGGACATTATCATCTGCGAGGAGGGTGCGAGCAGTAGAGGGCGACATCGTCCTCTGCTGCCCGCAGATAAACAGAAAAGGAAGTGATGCCATCAACATGGGCGGTGCTCTGAGGAAGGCTACAGCGTTAGCCAAAACTTGTCAGCTTAAAAGGTAAAAACAAATCTTGACTACACCGTGTTTAGAAAAGAACCAAGCAATGGGAAAACGACAACCCTCCAGCCGGCTGAGAAAGACATCTGCTCCAGTATAACCTTCCTTCCAACATGATTTGAGACTTTTTGTGATTATTTCACTGTAAATTTCTTCTTTAAATGAATTGAAGATCACTGTTATTTGTGCAATATAAAATAAATGAACTAAACTGAATCAATGGTATTCCTCTTTCTATTACTGTTAATAAATCAAATACAAGTTTGAAGATTGACATTAACTCTACATATGTGCAATATTCGTTTGAATCTGTTTTCCCTAAATCTCTTCTCACTTGCATATGTTGGCTAATAGCAATGCCCTCTCACCTGAATGCCAGATGACGTGGGAGTCCAGTTTAGATTTCAGATTGAATCTTCTCCCACAGGTGTTGCAGCAATAGGGCCTCTCCATTGAGTGGATCTTCTTGTGAACATTCAGAATGGATTTCTGGTTGAATCTTTTCCCGCATTCATCGCAGGAATACGGCCTTTCGCCTGTGTGGATTCTCTGATGAACTTTCAGGATTGATGTTTGGTTGAATCGTTTGCCACAGATGTGACAAATGTAAGGCTTGATTCCCGTGTGGATCCACTGGTGTCGGATCAGTTTGCACTTATACGGGAACGCTTTTCCACAGGTGTCACATACAAACTCACACTTTTTCCCAGAGCGAGTATAAATGGGAGACCTTAACACAAAAGTTTTATGTTCTTCGTTCACTTTGCAATGTCTCTTCTGCAGCTTTGCTTCTGCTTGTCTAGCTGATAATGAGCCTTCTTGCTTTCCTTCTTTGGCATCTTGGCTCTCAGCTAAATAAGAGCACTTAGAATTCAGCTGATTACTGGAGTTTTGTTCTGGTTTACTTCTACTTTTAGCAGATGCCCCACGCTCCTCATCTACTGCCTTATGAAATCCATCAGGATTCAAGGAGTCAATTTTATCCACAATGTTGTCCCCTTTATCACCACCTGCCAGCAGAAGAGTTTTGGTTTCTTCTTTAAGTGCAAACTGATCATTCTCCGGACGGCTGCAGAGTTGCACAGGTTTTGAGTGAATTTCTTCCAGCTCTGAGTCCAGTTTATTGAGCCTCAGCTCTGTCTGAATATCTTTTAACTCAATGAAATGTTGCGGGATCTCTGAAGGGAAAAGTAATACAAATTAAGCAAATATAACAAACAAATGTAACAAAGATGAAAATATTAAAGCTGTTAACTCATTCCAAGCCTTGATTTTCAAATGTTGTGCTGCAAACCCAAAATTTAAAGGGGCATTTTATGCAAAACTCACATTTTGCAACATTTTGAGCTGCTATGAGTGTCTACCCCCTCTATAAAGACTCCTAACATGAAAAAAAAATCAAGTGTCAGTGTTTAGTTTTAGGAATTGTGCACCTAAAATCAAGCTGCTTCAAAAAGTCCCCATCTGTGATGTCACAAATGGGGAATACAACATCTCGTGTGCTCTGCAACTCTACTCTGAGCCCCTCCTGGTTATTGGAACTTATCCGTTTATAGCAGCCTGGGTGAGGTGTTGGTGGGCGTGGCCAGTTCTTAAAGAGGCAGAGCCCTAAATCAGCTCATTCTGGAAGGTACTGAAAATGTAAAAAAAACTGCTGAGATTGCTTTATGAGTGACTTTTGTACAAAGAACATCATGAACATGTTTTGTTTAGACCATAGAACTATTATCGTATCCTTTCTGATTCGGCTCATTGCAACTGGGATTTTGGGGACTTTCTATTTTAGCACTATCCAGATGCTAGTAAAATACATCTGTAAATATGTTACATGTTAAACGATTGGTGGTAAATATGAGGTATAACCACACGCTTCCGTATTTAAAGGCAAATTAGGCCTTACAAACCTGCCCTTTGTAACTTTACTTGAGGTTTCCAGACGATGGCGAGCAGCCTGCGCTGACGGGTGATTTCTTTCTCATAATCGGCGATAGTTTGTTCAAAAACATGAACTATCTCTTCTGCCGCTGCGGCCAGTCGCTCGTTGACAAACTGTCTCACACACTGAACCGAAGACATTGTTATTCTGTCCCTAATGATATGTTCTTCTGTGGTTTAATGGGTTTAATAGAGAGATGTCTATCCGCTTTTTTATTGTTTACTTCCGCTGTGCGTCACACTGAAAAAATCCGACAGAATAAGTCACGTTTATAGTTCCACTAAGAAGGATTTTTAAAATTTCCTTTTACCTGTAATTATTTACAATACCTGTAAATAATTTAGCTGGAGAAAAGCTAATAAAATTAAATATACTAAATGTGATGGTAAAAACGTCTTGGATTTCACATTATTTCACCTAACAAGGATTATGATTTTAACTGTTTTATTATACAACACCTGCGTAAGAAGATGTGGATGGTTTATTTTTATTTTTTACTATCTGAGGTTTCAACCACAGTTGTTACCTATTTGGTGAAAAGTTTAAAAGTGTAAATGTAAAAGATTTAAACGACACGCGACCATACTCCACGTATCCAGTAGGTGTCGCAAACACAGCTAAAACCTGAAATAAATGAGAGAAGAAGAAACCCCCAAAGAACAAGAAAAAGAAAAAGAAATACATTTTTGATTTATCAGGAAAACAACTACATTTTAAATAATCTGTGTTATTTTTTGTTATGAGGTTTTTTCTTATCGTTAGAATATTTCCTGGTGTCTAAATGGGTGCACATTACTGCGCCATTTGTAAACAAACGACATTCTCCGGGAAAAAGCATGTTTTCGGAAAAAGTCACCAAAGCAGACTTAGAGTCGTTCTTCTCAAATTTACTGAAAAGGTGAGAAGACTAGAAACCCAGCATTGTTATAATTTCCTATATTTTATTATTGCAAATAAAAATAGAAATTGCTGAACGTCACTATGCTAATGCTAGCTAGCAGGAGTAGATTTTGTATTTTTTACTCAAAAATTAGCAAACATTTGTTATTGTTTATGTACATTTGTGTTTTATTTTACGTTTCCGATTATATTTTGTCTTCTGATTTCTTGTGTTTCACTGATCAGTGTGTAGGTCCGTCAGACCTTTCCAGCTTGTTGTAACTAACTGAAAAAGTAGCATTTCCCAGGAATTAAGCTTTTAGTAGATTTGTGGTTGTTCTGTTTCTCAGGTGAAAGAAGCTCGTCGAACACTCAAAAAGCCTCAAGTAGAAAAGTTTGATTGCACCCAGCACAAGCAGAAGATCTGGTGCTACTGCTGTGAGGTGGAAATAGAGAGAAACGTTACAGATGACAACATGACTGTACTGTATGGAGGCGTAATAGAGCACATGGCCACGTATGTTTTGTATTATTTTATTCACAAAAAATGTTTTACTCATGTGAAAGCAATTATGTTAATTATTAACACCCTTTCAAACAGGCATAGATTACCGTTATGGAGGAATATAAAACGTTTATGTGTTTTAACTTCAGACCAGAGCATAAGAATAAAACTCACAAGTTCTGGTGGGACAATAAAGCAGACCCAAAGTTGAAAGACAAAGTCCTTTTCACAGCGGAGGAAGCTGAAAGGTACAGCTAGTGACACAAATGTTTATTTTATTATGTTTTTTTTTTTTTAACAAAACGTTGTCCTTGTTGATTTGTTTCTAGATTTAAAGCTGAAGTATCAGAGGTTTTGGAGACATTTGTGGAGAAGGAGGATGAATATATTAAACAGGTACTGGAAAATTTTACTAATAATGTATTAATTATATGTTCTTAATCAGCATCCTTGTTCTAAATCATATGTATTTGTTGCTATGTGATAAATTATCTTAGGTTTTATCATAAGCTGAGTTAAAGTTTTGGTTCAATTTAGGCATAATTTCAACACCTTTGTGCATTACCGGATGTACCGTTTAACATAGTTACACGAGTCAAGACTGAATAGATGTGAAGATTAAATAAGGACTTCCAAAAAAATTATATTTAATAATTTCTTTATTTCGTATGTCTTTGTGGCTGCAGGAAGCTGAATTTATCAGGGCCCAGGAGAAACATCGTCAGGAGGTCATGCAGACTCTTTTAGAGGTTTGTTTTCCAGGGATTCAGTGGCAGTATCCAACACTGTGACCTTGACTGTTTGTATTGTACGATGAAAAATCTCATAATTCTCCTAAATTATCATTGACACCTTTAATCTTCAATAATTTATATTTTTGCAAAATTTTGATGGAATTGAAGCTAGAAGCAGGCATCACCGGCCACACACGAGTGTGAACAATGTTCTTCAAAAGTTTTGTTTTAAAGTCACATTTTTATAACACATTTTTTTCTGGAATCGCACAACAGCTTCGTGAATTCAACTCTTACTGTCAAAAAGGTCAAATTCAACATTTTCTCATTCAAAACCAAGCCGTAGTTTAATTTAAAGAGCTGAAGGTAAATGTTGACATTAACTCTAAAGAGTTGTGAAGAAATCTGAAGTAAATTAGATGTTAGATTTCCTCTGTGAACCCCTGTTGGCTTTTCCTGAATCCATATCAGCGTAAAGAAGAGCCGGAGTTGTCTAATGGACCTAACAGCAGCAGGCTGTCTGCAGAGGTTCCTGTCAGGTAACGCTGTGGCACTCCGCAACATTTGACTCATTTTGAGTTCATAATTTTATGTGTTGATCATTTTGCGTGCGAACCAGCTCTCAGTTACAGAGTCGAGGGTGGGGCCAGCAGATGGGGAACGCCTTTGCTGATTCCATGTCTGAGGTGACCCAGACCGCGGCAGGACAAGGCCTGACGTTTATAGGTTATCAGGTTTGCTAAGAGAGCTTCATGGTCTGTTAATTAATTTTATTTATACATGAATATAATCTGTAGTTTTTGCTGTTGCAGGATTCATCAACCAGTGGGAATGTTCATACAGGTGTGTGAGTTTTGGAGCTAATGAGATGCTGGGACAGTAAGAAAACCTTAAAGAGCAAGTCACCCCCTACCAGAGTATTACTCCACTCCCACTTCCTGTTTGAAAAATGCAACAAATGCTGTTGCCTAGCAGACCGAGAGGGCGGAGCCGCTAACAAATACACATACACACAGGCTCACAACAACATTGTGACATCATATGGTACCAGCTAACATTCTAGGGTACCTCTTAGCCAATAGCGATGGCAGATTTACATTCAAACGCAGTGCAGAGTTTTTACCTGACAACGGCTCAACACTGACAGTTTTAGGCAGAAAATCTAAATTTGAACTAAAATGCAATAAATTCAATTCAAAAATACTTTATTAATCCCAGAGGGAAACTGATTGCTGTAGTAACTCAGAATAATAATAATAATCAAGTCATCAAAGAGGTGTTGTATATTACAACGGCTGTTGGCAGGAAGGATCTCCAGTAGCGGTCAGTGTTGCAGCCAAACTGAAGAAGCCTCTGACTGAAGACACTCTTCCGTTGTCGGACAGTCTTGTGAAGAGAAGGCTCAGGGTTGTCCATCATGTTCTTGATTCTCTGGAGAATCCTTCTTTGCATTATCTCCTCCAGCGGTTCCGCAGTCGTCCCCAGAACAGAACCAGCCTTTTTTATTAGGCTGTTGAGCCTTTTCAGGTCCCTGCTTCTGATGCTGACCAGCACCTGATTTATCATCGCCCATTATGATAGATGGAAGAGATGGTTTGAATTTCTTCTTTCTCTGTCTCCGTTGTGCTCCCGCTCTGCACCCACGCTTCTTGCGTTTTAGCTCATGTGGGATTTGTGGCTTCAGTTGAGGTATTATTTCAACCTTTCCAATGTTAATCAGCTGCTACCGATTGTAAACCAGCTTGTTACCATGGTTACGCATCATAACAAATGCTCAAAAAGCGAAAAAATAGCAGTAAAAATCCTCCAAGCTTCACAGCACCAGAAACAGAAAAGTAAAGTGTCAAAAAATACAGTTTTCCAACATGCAGCCACCCAGAGCAGCGCAGTTCCGGAAAGTGCTAAACTATTGACTACACGAGTCTGCAGCACGATTAGACACGCGTTTATGTAGTTTATCAGGAAAAAAAAGTTGATTTGGGGGTGACTTGCTCTTTAAAGGCATCTTGTACATATTTTTCAATCATTTTCTTGAGTCATTATGTGCTAAAATAACCCTTCACAGGACCCCCACCGCCCTCTGTGGCCAGAATACTGCACTTGCAACTTCAGAGTATCCGGACCAGTGCCTGTTAGTTTTAATAAGTAGAGCTGACACGCCAGCGCTGGAGTCTGCTTCCAGCACACGACTCCTGTTTGTTTTAAATCTTGAACGCAGCCCATTTGTTTGATTTAGTGATTAACTGCTCCTGAAGGCCGAGGAGATGTAGTTAGTTGAAGGTGTTTAAAAGATTAACGCACGGCGAGGAGGAGAGTTTCAACAGACGCTAGGGGGTGCTTCAGACTGTGTTCTTAATAAAGTTTTCTAAGGTACGAGTTTAGCTGAGATGGACCGATGTGGGTTTTTCTGTTGCAGACTGATGTGAGTATGTAAAGGTCACGGTCAGCTGATGGCTGATATCTATTTGCATCCTAAAATGTCAATAAAACAACTTTTATGAACCTGAATCAGATTTTGAACCCTGAATTTAACCACTTCAGTTTATTTACATAGCGCCAAATCACGGTGAGTCATCTCAGGGCGCTTCACAAAATAAGAAAAATAAGACGTTCCAACTGAGTTCAGTTCAGTTAGTTAAACGTTTCTTATGTAAGGAAACCCAGCTGACTGTGTCTTTATAGCAATCTCCAAACTAAGCAATCATGTAGCGACAGTGGAGAGGAAAACTTCCCGCTAACAGGCGGAAACCTCTTCAGTATGAGCAGCCGTCCGCTGCGACTCACTGTCACCAGCTGTTGGATTGTTATTTCCTGCAGTCCTCAGTATTAAAATCAAACATTTAACAGAAGTGAATCAAAAAAAGGAACAAACTGACCAAGTCTTAAATGTGCAGGTCAGGTAAATAAACAGAAACGTTAGCTGACTATAAACGTTTAGAGCATTTATTAAGCATGTGCTTTTCAGACACATGAATATAAATGAAATTCTGCAGCAGCACCAGGCTTTTAATCGGCTCTACTAAATAGGAATATCGGCCCGATTCATCGTCTATCACTGGTTCTGTTCTGACAATCGCTGCTTCCGTCCCTGGTTGAAGTAAAGTCGGATGCTTTTAAAGTCTTACTGCTTTATTGTGACATCAGCATTTCCACATTATTACAAACATGGATAATATTTCAGAATTAGTTCAAGTTTCTGTACGTTAAGGGGAAGTCTTGTCCACCCCCTCTCTGTTTTAGGCGCCGTTCCTCCTTGGCTCCAAGACGATCCTCTAGAAGGGACTTCAGGAGCTGCTCCACAGAAGGAGATTGGTCCGTCACTCCAGGACTTCCTCAAGCAGAGTAAGAATCTGAAAGCTTTACTGGTCGTGTTGTATTTTTGTCATAAAGGGGAAATTTGTCTTACAAATGCGCACACATTCAAAAGGATGCTATCTAAGAGTCATCTGATTTTACCCTGAGTTACTCTGTCACACAGCAGCTTTTCCAGTTTCATTAAGGGTGTCGTGTCATTTTCCAGAGGAGCAAGAGAAGCTGAAGAAACTTCCTCCAAACCGAGTAGGAGCCAACTTCGATCACAGCTCACACACCGACGCCAACTGGCTTCCCTCCTTTGGAAGGGTGTGGAACAGTGGGAGGCGCTGGCAGTCCAGGTGAGTTCACAGAATAAATGCATTTTAGTTTTTGTGTGGAAAATAAAACCACAATACAAGGTTGCTGTCGGGCTATATTTGTGTTAGCTGTTACAGTTTAGCTCCTGTGTGTCTGCAGCATCTTGTTTTAGTGCACTAATGGCTGCAACGTTGTTTTAAAAAGATGCTGCGTGCACACGGCTGGCAGAAAGGACCGGTCACGTGTTCGTCTGTCTCTCAACAGGCATCAGTTCAGACAAGAAGAGCGGCAAAAGCGGAAACAGAAGAAGCAGCATGGCACAGAGAGCTCAAAGAAGGCAAAAATGACTGAACAGCTGTCGAGTTCTGGTGTATAAAATGTGACGTTCTTTAACTCAGGAGTGAAATTATGCATACGCTGATTTAGGTCTTATACTTTATTACTCATTGGGATTACTCAGTCCAGGCAAGCAAGACACCCTTCTGCTATTCATATGAAGGAATGTGTTTATGATGCATATGTTGAGTAGGATTTGTAATAAACACTCACTACTGAACATTTTAATGTACACGAGGAACATTAAAATTTTATTTAAACAAACTTCACTGTAACAAAGTGTGTGCAGTCTGTTTATTGGTCACTAATTTGTCCGTTTGTAGTTTCTGCAAACAACCCAGTTGGTTTGACCTCTTTGAGTCATTTTAGAAAATGACCAGCAGAGGGCGCAAACACTCCAGCCAGCTCAAGACTGCTGAGATCAACAAGCTTGTTCAACTTGATCAGTTTGCAGGGAAAATGCAACGTAAACAAAATCAGCTGTATGTGTGTCTGTTTTACTTTGCTTTAGACTGCACACACAAATAATAGACTCACGTTTTCTTTTTTAGATTATGCTGCAGAAAGTTACAGGTAAAGCTGCCAACTCACACATCTTCAAGTTTTCAAGAATTTTATTATTTACAAAACAAGTGCAAAGGAAGTTGGTTTCTAAGACACAAGCGTGTCAGTTGTGTAAAAATGCACTCTTGTGTGTTTTCATTTGACATTAAAAGGCTAATGGGGTAAAAATAATTAAAGAGCAAGTCACTCCCTACCAGAGTATTACTCCACTCCCACTTCCTGTTTGAAAAATGCAACAAATGCTGTTGCCTAGCAGACCGAGAGGGTGGAGCCGCTAACAAATATACACAGGCTCACACCTGCATTGTGACATCATATAGGGTACCTCTTAGCCAATAGCGATGGCAGATTTAAATTCAAATGCAGTGCAGAGTTTTTACCTGACAACGGCACAACACTGACAGTTTTAGGCAGAAAATAAAAAGTTTAACTAAAGTGCTAAACTATTAACTACATGAGTCTGCAGCACGATTAGACACGCATTAATATAGTTTATCAGAAGAAAAAAGGTAGATTTGGGGGTGACTTGCTCTTTAAATATTTGATCCAGTCTGGCAGAAGTCTTTGTAAACGGTTGGTGATCATCAAGCATGCTTAATTAATTTGTACCATTTTGCCTTTAATTATTACAATCCTAACCCTAACTTAAGTCCTGATTTTTACTTGGCTGCTCTGGGCGGCTGCATGTTGGAGTAGCTCTGTTGACTATATGTAAGTTTTGCCTTTTTTGGACATTTTTTCTTCTAGTTTCTCAAGAAAAACTGTATTTTTTTGACACTTTACTTTTCTGTTTCTGGTGCTGTGAAGCTTGGAGGATTTTTACTGCAATTTTTTCACTTTTTGAGCATTTGTTATGATGCGTAACCATGGCAACAGGCTGGTTTACAATCGGGAGCAGCTGATTAACATTGGAAAGGTTGAAATAATACCTCAACTGAAGCCACAAATCCCACATGAGCTAAAACGCAAGAAGCGTGGGTGCAGAGCGGGAGCACAACGGAGACAGAGAAAGAAGAAATTCAAACCATCTCTTCCATCTATCATAATGGGCGATGATAAATCAGGTGCTGGTCAGCATCAGAAGCAGGGACCTGAAAAGGCTCAACAGCCTAATAAAAAAGGCTGCTTCTGTTCTGGGGACGACTGTGGAACCGCTGGAGGAGATCATGCAAAGAAGGATTCTCCAGAGCATCAAGAACATGATGGACAACCCTGAGCATTCTCTTCACAAGACTGTCCGACAACGGAAGAGTGTCTTCAGTCAGAGGCTTCTTCAGTTTGGCTGCAACACTGACCGCTACTGGAGATCCTTCCTGCCAACAGCCATTGTAATATACAACAACTCTTTGATGACTTGATTATTATTATTATTCTGAGCAACTACAGCAATCAGTTTCCCTCTGGGATTAATAAAGTATTTTTGAATTGAATTGAAAACCAGAAGGCAGCCAAGAAGAGTTTATCAGAGGAACTAAGTTGCCTAGAGCAGTGTCCTGTGTGCTCTGGGCCTTCATTTGTCGCGTCAGGCCTCCTCTAAGGGCAAAGTGGTGTGCTGTGGGTAGACAGGCGTGGATCCAGGGCAGCATGAGGATACAGCATATAGCTGGTCTATTCTTAGCTCTGACAACATGGCTCTCACTAATTCAGTTCATATGTGAGGAAAGAGGGGGATTAGCATAGTTCTTCTGTCATTTCTGCGAGTATCGATGATATTTTTTGCTAATGATTTTTTCTTTGAACATTAGTGTTGAGAGTTTAGAGGAAGAAACGGCTGATTACGTTAGGCCGAGCACAAAAGCCTTCCCTGGCTGGCACTAAAGTCCGGGAGGGTAGAAAGCACGTGTACTGGGTGGAGTTTAAAGTTATCCAACAGCCAATGGCGTTGAGGTGTTTTTGAATAAATCTGCATATCTTAAAGTGGATTATGGTCTCTGTTTGCTGATTGGTTAACCAGGATGCGAACTGCCAATCGCATTAACGATAAGAACCCAGCTGGCCGTTAAGTCCCGCCTACCGCGGAGTTGTCAGTAAACCCCGGAAACGATTCTTAAAGAGACAGGAGGCATATTTTTGCTCTAAACCACGAAAACAGCTGTGAACACACAAAAAAAGAAGACAGGCACGTTGAGGAAAGGACGTTATGTTCGTCTGTGTTTCAGGGCTGGGTGAGAGGACGAGACAGAAACGAACGGAACCATTCCCACGTCACATTTAGAGCTAATGCTTCGGTCTTCTGCCGTTAGCCACCTGGAAAAGCGACAACGTAGCACTCCTCACGACAGAGATAACAAAAAGGCCAAACTCCGAGACGACACGGACGCTCGGTTCTGAACGCCTGGACGTGTTTTTCCTGCCGAGGAGCGGGTCCTTCCGTGAGGTTAGTGACGCTAGAACCAGCATTTAGCCAAACTAGTTGTCTTTTAAACCGCATTCATACGTTGTGTGCGTAAGTGTGTCAGTAAGGAAACGAGACAAAAGGATATTTACCTAGTAATTTAAAAGGCTTCAGGTGAAATACTTGCCCCGTAAGCGTGCATGGGATCAGTCATCATTTAAAAATGTGAATGAGATCAAACAATGCAGGAATTCATACTGAGACAGCTGATGGACTGACAGTAGGGTTACAGGGGGCGTTCCCCTGCTTTGTCTCACTTTTTATGTGTTTGCAATGCAATCTGCAACGCTTAGAGACACAAAGTTAAAGAATAAGCCCAGTGTCCTGTTATGGTTTCATGTGCATCTGATAAGAAAATGCTGTATTTTCTTGCTCCTCCTCTGGTTGTCCATCTATGTTCAGAGAAAGAGATCAGCTAGAATGAGTGATGTATTATATGTGAGGTTATGACTGAGCATAAATCTTGGGCTAATGATCCCTGCAAAGCTCATAGGGGGGAGCATAGCATTGCAGTGGGTGTATTGTTCCCTTGGATTGCTCTTGGGAGTTGCATTGCATCAGCAGTGATCATGCACTGATGTTTAACAGTTCTCACTGCAAAGGTGACATTTCTGTTGGCCTTAAACTGTGTTGTAAAAATGGAACACAGTGGCTTGGTGCTTGCACGTGCACATTATGCACACATGTTTGCAGTCTCACACTGCCTCACTCATAAAGCACTGGTGCACATGAAAATCCTGCAGCTGCTTGCTTCACACACACACACACACACACACACACACACACACACACACACACACACACACACACACACACACACACACAGTGTCCATATCTACATTGCAGCAGCACAGTACATGCATTGCTCCTTATGCCCACCCCCACCTCTCTCTGTCTGGGAGAAAGCAGTGGGCTTTGTCCTCAGCTGAGTGTGACGTCATGCAGATATTTGCTGTAACCAGCCCTGACGGCAGTGTACATGTTGTTCAAGAGACCTAGGTCTGGGCATGTCATATGTTCAAACACACTTGGTCTTAGGTTCCCCACCTCCCTGGGAAAGAAGGAAGCTCTCACTAATGAATGCAGTATGGCCAGGTGAGACAGGGGAACTCAGTAGATCTGTTCATTTCAAAAGAGAAGATCAAACACTGCAAAGGTAAAAGTATGAAAGCAAAGGAACTTCAGGAAACCCCAGCCATGACTTCCTGGATTTCCTACTTCAACATGTAGAGTTCTGCGTCGTAGACCTGAGTTTTAATACATCTGTAGATAATTATCAAGGAAGAACACAGAGTTGTGCAAGAAAAGGGTTAAATGTGCATGCTTTCATTTTATCATAAGTAATCACCAGTGTCTAGTTCAGATAATGCATGTAAAGAGGTTTATAATAATACCACTGATTCTGCACCTACACTCAGTTTTATACATGGGCAGGTCATCTGATAAACCACGCTACCTAAAGGACACTGTTCATCCCGCTGTCCCCTGTGTGTCCAGCCTGTCTTTGTCCAAATCAAGTGAACATCCTATATTTCTTCTGGTTGTCTGATGTTATGGATGCAGTCCATAATGCTGGTTTTTACCTGCTGTATATGTGTGTATGCCTGTGCATGCCTGCGCGTGTGTGTGTGTGTGTGTGTGTGTGTGTGTGTGTGTGTGTGTGTGATTATTAAACACCGTGAGCTGTTGGGAGCTTTTTGTGAGTCATCCAATGTGCCCCTGCAGGATTTGATGTCAGAGATTACAGATGATTATGTAGGTTAGATCCAGTCCTCATCACAGCTCTGGGGTTGTATTGATTGATTGTGTGTGTGTGTGTGTGTGTGTGTGTGTGTGTGTGTGTGTGTGTGTGTGTGTGCGCGCGTATACACACACACACACACACACACACACACACACACTAGAACTTAATTCCCTGAAACTAAAAACAGGGAGAAATGCCTCTACAGGGGTTACGTTTGAAAGTAGAAAATTGTGCGTTTGTGAGGGCGGTGCATGGCTCAGTGGTTCACTCATCTCAGACAGCAAAGGCTGAGATGAAAGATCACTTTGGTGAAAAGCACAGGCAAGGAGAAGAACCTTTTTCGCCTAGAAATCAAATATCCTCACACCTCGAGATGCCACGAATATTTTGATGGACCTTTTCTGCAACCGTTTTTCCAGATGAGATGGTGAAGACCTTACAGAAATGTTAAAATTCCCATTTTCTCACTTAAAGCAAATTTCTCTAAGCTTCTAGGCTCATAACTACATTTGCAGTAGTTTTTTTAACGTGTTATACTTGAATAACAAAAACATAGCCTGTGGCTT